GGGAGAGGGGGTGGGGGAGGGGGAGAGAGGGGGGTGGTGGGGGAGGATGCAGGAGGAGGGGAGGGGGAGGATGTGGGAGGGAGGGAGAGAGTGCCTGCGGGGAGGAGGAGGGTCAGGGTGAGGAGCTTCCCATTTCAGCCTCTGGCACCAACTTCTCCGTTGAGACCAGGCAGACGGGGAAGAGAGATAAGAAAAAAATGCCAGGGCTTCAGTTGTACACAGAAGCTTTTCTAAAGCAGTTGGAGCTGCAGAGAAAGGTAACTGAGAAGGGAGAGAAAACAAAGGACTATTGAAGCGGGGTGTCTGGGGCTGGGAGGCATCTCTGCCGCGTGGGTGTTAGAGCGTTTCTTCTCGCGGTGCCCCGACGGCCTGGCTGGGGCCGCGGTCACAGGTCTTTCCTTGTCTCGTGGGAGGTAATTTGGGAAAGGACTCCGACATCTAGGGAGGGGAAGCGTGATCTCTCTCCTGTTTCTTCCAGGCTCTTCACACGCTGGAGCTGGAGGAAGCCTCGAGATCACAGCCGTGGAGTCACATGCTGGGGCCTCGATGAGCCCCCAACAGGGAAAATTATCCATCCGAGGCCACACCCACCAGCATATCATTCCTGCCATGCCTGTCTCTGACCCGCCTCCTTAAATAAAAGCCTGTAAGGGACGTTTGGTTGGTGTTTGCCTGTTCTCTTGCCGTTAAAGGGCACATTTTGAGGCAGGAGGTCCAGGCCAGCGAGGGCTAGATGTCTCATGTCTCAGGGAAGATGGAGGGTTGACCAGGCCTGAGTTCAGGTTTTATGTTAAAGTGAACTTTATCACCTTTCTCATCAGCTGCACACTAAGTAACTCACCTGGGGGAATCACGTCCACAGCCTGCTCCGGGCCTTTGAGACCAGGTGGGGTCTTCTCTCTGCCGACTTGTCCTGGGGCTGCGAGTCCTTCCTTCCTGACTGCTGAGGAAGCTGGTGTGGGCTGGCACTGGTCTCTGGAGAGATGCTGAGTCCTGAGCCAAGAGCGGCCTCAGCGAGTCACTAGCTCATTGCTGTGGCCTTGAGCTGAATCAAAGCTATGGTTTTTCCAGTAGTCTTGTATGGAGGCGAGAGTTGGATCATAGAGAAGGCTGAGCGCCGAAGAATTGATGCTTTCCAACTGTGGTCCTGGAGAAGACCCTTGAGTGTCCCTTGAACTGCAAGGAGATCAAACCAATCAATCCTGAAGGAAGTCGATCCTGATTTCATTGGAAAGAGTGATGCTGGATACCTTGGCCACTTGATGCAAAGAGCCAACTCTTCAGAAAAGACCTTGATGCTGGGAAGGATTGAAGGCTAAAGGAGAAGGGGATAGCAAAGGATGAGATGGTTAGATGGGATCACTGACTCAATGGACATGAATTTGAGCAAATTCCGGGAGAGAGTGAAGGACAGAGGAGCCTGGTGTGCTGAGGTCCATAGGGTTGCAAAGAGTCGGATGCGACATAGCAACTGAACAAGAATAATAACACAACCACCACAACTTCCCTTCTCAGGCCCTTTGCCATCATGACAGAGAGGGGCTAAAGGAAACTAATGTTTCTGAAACTATGCTAGTTGAAAGGCAAAAGAGGGCTTGAGGCTTGGGGGCCAGCTGCCACCTGACTTCGTCCATAGCCCTGCTAGTTTTTTTTCATGTCATGTAGCATGTGACATGTTATAATATGTTTATGATATGTATATAACATAACACAATAGAATAAAATATTACCATGCTGGACTTCAAGGTAAGCCTGGACTTGACAGAAGGATTTCGTTCCCTAGAAAACTTGGAGTTTGACCCCATGGAGTTGACCCCATGCGTCAGGTGACTTCGGAGGTGACTACAGAGGCCCCTCAATCCATGATTCTATTGCTCATTAAACAGTCCTGAGCAGCGCCAGAGAAGACTGGCAGCATTCACTCTGGTTATTTAGAAGTCTGAAAAAATGCCAAGAATTCGCAGTTAGAAAAACACCCTTTGGCTCCTCATTTATCTGGAGAGGAAAACAAACTCACTTGACGGACTGTGTGGTGCTGGGGAAGCGCCAGCGTGGGAGAAGCGCTCGCTGCCTCTCTGTGATTTCTAGCCAGCTGGACACTTGCTGTCCCTGGGACGTGCCTGAGAGAGGAGGGGGTGGTGTCCCAGGCCCACCCTGGAGAATGTGGAATTTTTATGACCTGGGGACGCAGCACTGACATTCTCGCTGTTCACAGGGAGATGTGAGATCTCTGACACGTGGGGAGTCCTTGGTCTCATGAAAGGAGAGGTTGTATTATTGGAGGTTAAGTGAAGTGACCGGAGGTGATGGGGGTCACCTGAAACGTCCGCCTCAGGTTAGCAGCTTCCAGGGACCAATCAGTCTCCACCCACCTCCCCAGCTTCTTCTGGTGTGAGGGAGGGACAAGCTGAGGGTGAGCTGCAGCCAGTCACCTGTGTGTAAAGTTGCATCCACGACTCATTAAGGAAAAAACCTGAATTTCAAGCTGTAAGATCCATGCCTGGGAGTGAGTCTCTGGGCCAAGTCAGCCTTCACATCTCAGGGCGGTTTTCTGCCTCTTTACTTCACTCAACAAATATTTATTAAAAGTCTATCTTGTGCTCAGCACTGTTGGAAAAGATGGGCTACATCTGTGAGCAAAACAGATGCCAATTCTTGCCCTCAGGGAGCTTCCCTTCTAATGCTCATTCACAGGCATCAAGCCTATGTATGTAACACAGGGATGTGTTACCCGCAGGGGACTGGGTGGGATTTAGGGCGCAGAGATCAGAGCCTGGTGTTGGTCTCAGTCACCTGGGTCCAAGCCCTTTACCTCTCTGCTGGCATAGTTCTCTTGTTAGACAGGTTCAAGGGCATGGCCGTTTCCTTGTCTGCTTTTTTTTTTTTTACAAATTATATACATTTATTTTTTAATAATTTTAAATAACACTCTTGTATAAATTCTTTCTTATATTCAAATCATACACAAATTTAGAAATGCATCATGAAGCCTAGTACAGCATATGTATGAGACATGTTTTTAAGATGTGTGTTAGAATTTTAGTGACATAAATACGATTTTAACGTTTCAGAAACACTCGTTGCTTGGGCGGAAATTTAACGTATTGCAGAGTGCTTGTGCCTAGCATGAAGATGCCGCTTTACATCAGTCAGCTCTCAGGCTGGCTCAGACCTCAGGCCTGGCCTCACGTTCTAGGGCTGCTGGTGCAGTTACTGCAGATGCAGGATAAGGAAGGTTCCCAACGGCCTTTGAAAAAGCATCCTTTGACCACTGACCTTCTGTGATCCATAGCCTTTTTAGTTCATGTGGTATCATTTGATTTCTTCAGGTGAATCACTGTGTTCTTCTTGCTGCTTCCCTGGCATCGTCGCTGGCCCAAAGTGGAAGGGAAAACTTAACGTTAACCTGTCACTGCCCTGCACACACCAAACCCGTGTCAGCTCCCAAACTCCTATCAAGATGATCATAACAGACCAAAGGCTCTTCGTCGATGAGGCCAGAGACGCTTCCTTTGCTCTAACAGGTTACCTTGGGTTGCTTTTTACTTTTCGGAAATTTTTGTGGGAGCTTTCTTTCCTTGTGATCTATAAATTCAACTCCTTCCCACATACCTCAAAATATAAGAACCAGGGAATGTTCATAATCAGAGGTGCTTTTGTTTTGTATTGTTTTGGTTATTTATTTAATTTTTATTGAAGTATAGTTTTCTGGGGCTTCCCAGGTGGTGCTAGTGGTAAAGAACCTGCTTGCCAATGCAGGAGACATGAGACCCGAGTTTGATCCCTGGGTCAGGAGGATCCCCTGGAGGAGAAAATGGCAACCCACCCCAGTATTCATGCCTGGAGAATCTCATAGACAGAGGAGCCTGGCAGGTTATGGTCCATGGGGTCACGAAGAGTCAGACACGACTGAAGAGACTTAACACACCCATATATGATTTACAGTGTTATTTCTGATGTACAGCAAAGTGATTCAGTTATATATATACACACACATATTCTTTTTTAAAAAATATTCTTTTCCATAATGGTTTATCACGGGATTTTTAAAATTGGAGGATAATTAATTACTTGACAATGTTGTGTTAGCTTCTGCTGAACAACAACATAAATCAGCTATATGTGTACATCTATGCCCTCCCTCTTGAGCTCCCTCCTGCTCCTCCCATTCCACCCCCTAGGTGCTCACAGAGCACACCTCCTCATCTGTTAAAGGGGATAGTGAGGGATGCGCTGAGGATTCAACAGGTGATCCACCGGCAGTGGTTGGGGTGATGTCTGCAGCGTGGCCAGTGCTCTGCAAGGAGGACGGCCTGCTGCGGGCATTTATCTGCCTGCATTCATCCCTCGCAGCCTTAGGGATTGTGCCCTTGACCCTCTGTGTGGTTGCCAGGAGTGCTGCGTCCGTCCGTGGAGCACCTCCGCAGGACGTGACACCGTCAGGTGTGGGTGTGACCTATGCGGCCCATCGGGCCAGCAGGCCCTCCTCTCCGGGGAAGGGAGTGGCTGGCTGTCCCTAAGTCAGCGGCCACAGTGCCCGCCTCCCCTGGGCTGACGGCCAGAGGGCTGCCTTCACTCACTCTGAGCACTCTTGCTTCTTGGACCCAGCAGGCCGCCTGTTCTGGGGGAGCAGACCATGTTGCTCCTCCCAGCCTCCCTGTAGCGGGCTCTCTTCTCTGCTGACTGCTGTGACCCAGCCCAGTGCTGCCCCGAACTGGCTGTGTGCCCTGGAACCAACCGCTTAACCTCTCTGGTCTGAGTGTCCTCCTGGGGAAGGGAGCTGACACTCACAGCTGTGAGGGGCCGTCAGGTGAGACAAGATGAAGGACCGTAGGACTGTAGGTGCGGTGTTCACATACTCGTTCCCGTCACTCGGTCATGTCTGACTCTTCGTGACCCCCATGGACAATGCTCAGCGCCCCCATCAAGTCTCTGTCCTGTGCAGTCTTGGCCCCCTACTCATGTCTGATCTGGCCCACTCTCCCTCCCCCTAGTGTTACCTTCCAGTCTGCCCCGTGCTGCAGCCTTTCAGCACATTTGGCCACCTCCATGATCGCGAAGCCACACTGGACTCTGGGAGCGTAAGAAGCACCCACTGCCACTGGACTGAGAGTTTCTTAAAGCGGGACCGACTGTCTCCCTCTGAGCCTCCCCTTCCTCTTCCAAACAGCCGAGCCTGCAACGAGTGCCAGGTGCAGACACATGTGGGACAGACGTCCCAGGTGGGTACAGACAGACAGGAGGACAGAGCTGGCTCCTCTCTCCTGATGCTCTTTTTATTATGTGTCAAATAAGGACATTGTTTCTGAAACTGTCACTCAGAGATCTAAATTTAGAGCTGCTTTCTGCCAGGAGCTATCCTGCCAGGAATGGGTTTGAAATGTAGTCCTCAGGGCTTGACTCTCTTGGGCTCTCAGTAGCGCTGCCAGGCAGTCAAGTGGGGCAGCTTTCAGCTTGGAGTCTTGGAGGAGGTTCTGGTGGGGCACAGATGTCTTGCACCACCATCCAGGCTGTCTGGAAGGTCTCCTTCCCAATCATCCCACAGGCTGGCATCCACACTGTGCGGGTGTGCTCCCCAGCCCACCTGTCCTGCCCTTTCCTGCCTCTCAGGGCCGCCTAGATGCTCAAGAACTACTGATGACATGAGTAGCTCAAATGTGCTTCTCAAATATTGGAATTAAGAACTAATGAGGTTTCTTCGCCAACACCTGGCAGGTGAGCTGGTTATAAAAGCCAGTGGAAAGTTAAAGCTTCTTGGGATCATGTATCCAAGGCTCCCGCTTTCCCTAATTGAGTAATAAAATGAAGACATTAATATGTCATGCAGGAAATAGCCTCCCTGAAGGACCAGGCTAATTACTGTAATCCTACGTTCCCCATTTTCAGTGAGAATCTGGTTAGACTCAATCGTGTAACAAGAGGTCCCAGATTAATCTGGGCACAGAAGAGTAACGTGATACAGACAGAGTAAAATGATGCAGATAGATGCTGAGGCTAATGAGCGAACAGAGCATCCACAGATGCTTCTAGGATTTAATGAGTCCAAGTCTATGGGCCAGAGAGGAAACCCATCTTATCTCCCTGGTTTTTCGTTGGCTCCCACTTGTCGTTCTGTTGTTTTAAAGCCGATAGATCTCAATGTCTCTCCTGCTGATACAGCTGAAGGAAATGTTTGCATGGTGGCACATGCAGGCTGTTGACAAAATAAGGTCCTCAACAAACCATGCCATCATCTATTGGCAAAAACAAAACAAAACTAGTTTTCCTTGATTTCACCATGACAGCACTATGTGCTTTTTTTGGAGGAAAAAACCTGACTGGGAACTAAGAAGACCTGAATTATAATGCAACCCCTGCCACTAACTTTATCAGCAGTGAATCTGTTCACAACCTCTGGCCAGGTTGTGCAGCTAACAACTGGCAGAGTGAGGTTTTGAGCCCAGGGAGTCTAGATCCAGAGTTACCACTATGATAGTGCTGAAGTGCTAATTTCAGGCTGTTTTGGGGACCCAAGAGTGGAGGGGTCCTGTGGTCTAGACGGTAGACTCCTGGAGGCAGCCACGCTATATACACATTGTGCCTTTGTCCTGTGTTCAGGCAGATGGGCCAGGGACAGACTGACAGAAACCTCTGTGTGGTCTCCCCCATCCCTACCACAGCACAGAAGTGGCAGAGGGGCCATGATGTTGCCCCTCAATGTGGCTCAGGGGTGGTGCAGGGGGCCACGGAGGTCACGAGGAGTTCTGCAGCCATGTGGGAGGGGTCGTGACCAAGGGTCAAGAGTGGGAAGGAGGAGGACATCTCTATTGTGGGCATCTCTGTTGCAGGAGATGCCCAGCTTGAAGCCTAGATGTCCCCTCAGTGGCTTGGCACTAAGAGAGCCTACTAGAACACAGACACTAATGTGCGGGGAAAATGGGGAAACCTCAAATTAATTGATACTCCCTCCATTCTCTGCAATATTGACTTTTTGAACAAAAATTAACTTGAGCAATAGAGAAGCTAAGTCATTCACGCATACCTGAGGGTCAAAACCTTGTCACACAGTGCTTTCAATAAAACTGTGTTAAGCAAAGGACAGATGTGGATACATTGAGTAGAGATCTGCTTCCTACAATTTGTATATGTTTGTTACAATCCTATCCTTTGAGCCTAGTCTAATCTAAATGGTTGAATCTCTCCTCTTACCAGATGTTAATAGCTCTTGTTTTGACAAACCAGCCATCGACAACCCCATTAGAGGACACTCTATATGTTGCACTTTTGTTTTTAAAGATCAACATTATTGAGACATAAATTATATACAATAAAAGGTACCCATTCTGAGCATACATTTCACTAAATGTTGACAAATGTATACACCCAAGTAACCACTACCACAATAAAAATGCTAAAGATTTCCATCTCGTTCCAAAGCCCCACATGGCCCTTTGCAGTCATCTCTCTCCACAAGGCTGGCCCGAGGCAACCACTTTTCTGCTTCCTGTCATTCTATATTAGTTTTGCCTTTCCAAGAGTTTCATATAAGTGGAATCATATGTCATATTTTAAGTGCCTATAAAATAAATGGGAAAGCCAGAGAAACCCCATCAAATGGAGCAGGGACCACGGATGTGAGTCTGCTTGGCTGGCTTGCCTGGCAGTGCCTGGACCAGAGACAGACATCCTCACTGACCAGCATCCCTCCTTTCCTGGTCTCAGCATCCTTCCCCTGTGCCTGTCTGTCTTCACGACCACTTCTCCTCCCTCGCTCTTGGAGCTGTTATTTCCTTTCTTGGCCCACATCTGCCAGTTGGGAAAGTAAATAGCCCATGCAACCCCTGGAGAAGCATCTTTGCTGAAGGGTTTGCTAATCTTCAGAGAGAGGCAGACAGGAAGTGTGTGTCCACTTGGCTCTCACTGACATCCCAGATAATGTAAACTCGCCGTTTCCTCCACAGCTGGCTCAGGCGCTGGCCCCTGACACAGTCAGGGAACTTACAGTTTCTCATTAGTTAACAGTTGGAAGCCCCTTGCTCTCCAGGCTCCCAGGGCTAGTTTTCCCTCTCTTGTCAAGAGCTCTGATTTTTTTTGTGGGGGGAGGGGGTGGTGGTTCTTTTTCTTGATCTTATTCACCTCCAGACTGAAAAGAACATGAGAGAGAATGATGGTCTAGTCTTGGAATCATTTCCTCTTCTCCCTAAACCTGTCTGGTTCTTCACCCACGTGAAGAAGATGTTTTATGGCTGAGGAGACAGAAATGAGCTTCTGGAGTCCAGCTACCCTCTGAAGTGTTGGTGTTATTCTTCCTGGTAAAAGTACTTCCATGAAAGAGTGAGCGGTGGAGACTGAAATTGTCTGCAGACAAGAGAAAGTGAATATACAGTCTGTATAAACCTGAGCACGTGACCCTCACCTCGATCTGTGTGCCTATCGGTGCAGGCAGGAGAAAGCCTCTGCCTTCCACAACATCTGGTCTGGACCGGTGGGTCCCAAAAGGTGATCTTCAGATCAGAGGCATGAGCATCCTCTGATGTATTAGTTATCTGTGGTGCGTAACAACTTGCTCCCAATTTGGGGGCTTTAAACACCAATAAATATTATTTTGTACAGTTTCTGTGGGTCAGGATGTAGGAGTGACAGCTCAGAGATCGTGGTTCAGGAGCTCTCATGAGGATGCAGACAAGGTGTTATCCAGAGCTACAGTCATCTGAAGGCTTGAGCAAACCTTCCAAGGTGGTCGATTCCCGGGGCTGGGTGTTGGCGGCAGGTTTTGTTTCCTCCCTAGGCTGCTGCTGGAATGTCTTCAAGATATGGGGGTTGGTCTCCCCAGTGTGTATGAACTGAAAGACACAGAGACAGACACAGAAACAGAAAGAAGACTGTTCTATTCTAAAATAGAACTGTGCCTTCTAATATCTCATCTGAAAATCACATACCTTTACATCCATCAAATACAGTTAGAAGCAAGTCACTAAATCCAGTCTACCATTTGCAGGGAGGAGTGTCAAAGAATTTGTGGGAGTATGTTAAAAATATCTTATCTGAGGGCTTCCCTGGTGGACAGTGTTGAAGAATCTGCTTGCCAATGCAGGGGACGCTGGTTTGATCCCTGGTCTGCGAAGATCCCCCATGCCACAGGCAACTAAGCCTGTGTGCCACAACTACTGAGTACACACGCTGCAGCAAAGACCCAGGGCAGCCAAAAATAAACAAATAAACATTTAAAAAAATATTTTATGTGACTGATAAATGCAAATTCTTGGACTGCCCAAATCTGCTGAGTCTCTGGGGTTCAAGTTCAACAACCTGTTTCAACAAGCTGTCTGGATGATTGTGAAGCTGGTGAAAGTTGGAGAACCACCAGACTAGACCAAACAATACTGAGAAAAGCTCAACTCACTTGTGGGTGCCTGAGCTGAAGCCTTACCCACTAGGGCTACTTTCTAGAAGCTGAGCTTTCATGAATTTGACACAAAGGTCCTGGCCTTACTTGAAGATAATCCACAAGAAAGATGCAATAGTCGGGATAATGCCCCCTACCCAGATATGCCCACATCCTAGGAGCCTGTGAACATGTCATTTAACATGGCAAGAAGTCATTTGTGGTTGTGATTAAATTAAGATTCTTGAGGCAGGAGATTATCTCAGCTTGTTCAGATGGGACCAGAGTAATTACAAGGATCCTCACAGGTAGGAGAAAGGAGAGATAGAGTCAGAGAGAATCAGAGATGGGACGTGCTGATGGCAGCAGAGTCAGCGAAATATTTGAAGATGGTACACTGCTGACTTTGAAGACAGAGAGATAGGCCACAAGCCAAGGACTGTGGGCGACCTCTAGAACCTGGAAAAGTCAAGAAAACAGATTCTTGCCTAGAGCCTCCAGAAAAACACAGTCCTGCCAACACTTTGATTTAAGCCCAGGGAGATTCCTTGTGGACTTCTGGTCTCTAGAAATCTAAGAGAACTCACTTGTGCTGTTGGAAGCCACTCTGTCAGTAGTCATTTGTTTCAGCAACAGTAGAAATCTAGCAGGAAAGCATTCTCATCTGAGACTTCCTTTGGGTGGAATAAAGAAAAAAAGCAGAAGAATGGAGGATCTGCTCCCTTAGATGTTTCCATAGGAAGTATAGATGCGTATGTTGTTGCAGAGTCTGTGCTTGTATTTTTACCAGCAGAAGAGAAATGCTGTAGAACTGCATTGTCCAACATATTAATGGTAGCCATGAGCCAGATGTGGCTTGATAAACTTACATTTCAGTTAATTAAATCTACATAATATAAAAAATAAAGTTCTCAGTCCTCCAGCCATAAGCAAAGGCTCAGTAGCCAAACATGGCTTGTGGTTAATGTACTGGGCAGCATGGACAAAGAACATTTCCAAAATGTTCTATTGACATTTGTAAATGTTCCATTGGACAGCACTGCTCCAGCCTGTTTGATCTTTCCCAGTTTAAGCTTTCGCAAAAATCTCACTCCACTCTGTGGCCATGGCTGTGATTTCCAATAGAGGCTATCTGATTTCTTCAGCTCCATCACTTGTTTTTATCTGCAATGCTCCGCAACTGGGTTTAAAAAATCCTTGCTTCAAGGGTTTCTGGGATTCTGAGGTGTCATACGGCCCAGAACATGGGGAGGTTGGGTGGGGGGTATCTGTATGTCCATGTTTATAGGGTTTATAGGGGGAGATGGGGACAGAGCCTTCATCCTGGCTTGAGCTACAACAGCTTCCCTCTTCATGTCACCTATTGAGTTTATTGTACCACTTCATTTGGAGAAAGGTCCATGGCTTTTAAAAGAAGAAGAGCCTGAAAACCCGGAGTCTGGAGGGAGGGTCCCTACCCCAGGTCTCCTTCTTCCCCCTCCATAGTCTCCTAGAGGTCGTCTGTACATGACTGCTCACCTAAGACCACGAGCAGAGCAATAAATCACTTGCACTTGGATATTGACATGGAGTCATCATCTAGAGTTACTGACTTTATGAAGATTTCTTCAAAAACTGGAACTAAAATTTTATTTTACATGATGCAGTTAATTTGAAAAGTAACTATTGGGTTGATCATTTTCCTCCTAGGATCAACCAACTATTTTGTATTTCTAGTCTCAGAAACATGTTATTCTGTCCCACTTATATGCATGATCCCACGCACGTTCACTTGCATACACACACACACACATACATGCACACATACACACATATGTATTTTATACAACACACCATCCCTGCCTGTTGCAGTAAAGTTTTATAGGGCTTCTGGCCCAAAACAATAATCTTGGAATAAAAACGGAGGGCCTTTGGAAGTTTCTTCAAACCGTATAATTCTCAGCCCCCAATGGGCTTCTCAGAAGAACTGACAGGTCTTTGGTTCAGGATAGGTTGACTGGTGGGAGCCTCATATTGGTAAGGGAGGTTGTTATGAACTTCTCATTTTAAAGTTTAAAAGTGTTGAACATGCTGGGATCACACTTCTTACCTCTGACAATTTCACTCTTTTAAGATACGATCTTGCATTAAGTACATACAGATTCCCCAATTAGAGCACACTTTTCTGGGAATGGCAAACATACTTGTCCTTATTCCTCTCCAGGGCAGAGTAAACACCCGCAAGTCTGGCCAAGTCCATTCTCATGACTACTACAGACAAGCACCTGTCTTTCTAGATTTGGCCTGTGTCTCAGTTTTCTAGTCTCTGAAAATCCAGGCTTGTAGATTAAAGGAGTTCTGTGTCTTTCCAGCTCTGAAGTTCTGTGGTTGCATGATGGATGAAAATAATTAGACTCAAAGAACTCTGTTTTAAGGTAAGAATGGAAATCCATCATGTATGATAGTAATAATAGAAAAATATGGCCATATTTAATCACAGTCATTATTTCCATTTAAAAGATGAATGCATCTGTAGCCAGATGTAAATGAGGAGAAATCTCATTTAAAAATACTACTGAGCAACATGGGGCTGGAGGTGCATTTATCTGCAGCTGTTGAAGGTGCAGTTTAGGTGCTCCTCATTTCAGTGGCCCTTCCAAAGCCCTGGAAGGGGACTTTGCAACATGTTTACATCTTCATATATTTTATAAACCTTGAAAATTGCAGTCTTTCAGCTATAATCTGGTAAAACTGCCATCTCCTTTCATCCATACTTTCTCTCCTCTTGACTAAGGTTGGGGCAGTCTGGGACATTTGGGGGATCCAGCTAAAGAAAGATGAGTTGGGGATACATTTATTTTGACCTTCATAGGACATGATGTGTTTACTCTAAGGACTCCAGAGAATTAACAATAGTGTATGGTTTTTCCCATCCCCATGAAACCTCTGGTGGAGGGGTTGAGTTAAAAACCATTATTAAGAAGGAGAAGGGACTTACCAAGTAGTCCAGTGGTTAAGAATCTGCCTTACAATGCAGGAGACTTAGGTTTGATCCCTGGTCTGGGAACTAGATCCCACATGTGGCAGAGCAGCTAAGCCAGGGAGCCATGACTACTAAGCCCTTGGGCTCCAGAACCTGTGTGCCACAACTAGAGTCTACACATCAAAACAAATGAAATATCTCACATGTGGCAACTAAGGCCAGACAAGGCCAAACAGCTACCTAACTAAATAAATATAAGTAGGAGAATAAGAAAGAGGAGAAATATGAAAAAGTCTGAATGAATAGTTTGTCCTTAAACAATCAGTCTTGTTTCAACAACCAGCAGCATTTTGGAATGAGGCATGTTGAGAACAAGGACTTGAAATAAGGTGGAGTTCAAGTCAGCTGTGCCAAGTGCCAAGCATCACTGACTCAATATTTTTCTTTGAATCTGTTCCCTCCCCCATGAATGAGGATAAGAAGATCTGTCTCCCATGCTTTTGGGGAACTGTAAATGCTAAAAAGTACTGTGGAATATTATTCCAAATTGGAATAAGAGGCACTCCATAAATTAGAGCTTGTTTTTTTTAAATCGTACCATGGAAGTTTCTTGTATGGTGCACTGAATTTGAATATCAAACATTCCAAGCAAGGGGAAGGATCTCCTTCAAAGATTGTTGAAGTGGGGAGGGGACTTGAGATGTTTGAATGAGGACATTGGGGTTTTGCAAAGTTGTGGCTTGGACCAGGTCATGCCCCTGTGTGTGTGTGTGTGTGCTAAGTTGCTTCAGTCACGTCCGACTCTTTACAACCTTATGGTCCACTAGGCTCCTCTGTCCATGGAATTCTCCAGGCAAGAATTCTGGAGTGAGTTGCCATGCCATCCTCCAGGGGATCTTCCCAACCCAGGGATCGAACCCATGTCTCTTTATGTTTCCTGCATTGGCAGGTGGGTTCCTTACCACTAGCGTCATCTGGGAAGCCCAGGTCATGCCCCTAAGAAGCAGCAAAAATGGTCTTATAACCTTCCTCTTTGAACTAGGAGTACAGCCAGGATAATTGAGAAATGTGTGTGGACCTGCACACGGACCTTCCTTACTAACTGGTATTTGCTGGAACAGTTGCTTAACTGTCTTCAGAAAAGAATATTCTCCTTTGTTGTTGTTAAATTCAGCTGTTTTCAGGACAGATTGGACAGTTCTCTGTTTTGTTAACTCCGCAGACCCCACCTTGACTAGAGCCCACAGCTAAGGTTAGATGAGTCGTGAGGAGAGTGTCAGCTAGATTCCCGGGGCAGGGGCTGCTGTAAAGAAAATGCAGAAGATTGCATTGAATCCAGCTATTGGTAAACAACACATTTGTCGAATGAATAAATGAAGAATATATAATACTTGGGGCTTCCCAAGTGGCCCTAGTGGTTAAGGACCTGCCTGAAAATGTAGGAGATATGAGAGAATCGGGCATCTGAGCACACACACACATTTGACTTTTGTGTCAAACGTTGTATACACTCTTGCTTTTAAAATGCAGAGAATGAACTTGTGGACACAGTGGTGGGAGAGGGTAGGATGAATTGAGACAATGGCATCGACATATATGCACTACCATATGCAAAATAGATAGCTAATGGGAAGCTGCTATTATATATAACACAGGGAGCCCAGCCTGGCCTTCTATAAAGACCTAGAGAGGTGAGATGGGAGGGGGGAGGGAGGCTCAACAGAGAGGGGAGAGATATATATATAATTATGACTGATTCGCTTTGTTGTATGGCAGAAACCAAACAACATTGTAGAACAATTATCCTCCAATTAAAAAAAAAATGTATTCATCTGTTCTTTTAAAAAAGATGTATTGAGCACCTTCTGTGTCCCAGGCTGTTTTAGTCTTTTTTACTCTTGGGAAGGATGTGATGAACTCAACAACCCCTTTGTTTTAATAGAAAAATTTTTTTAAAAAGACCGTTTTGTAAGAACAGTGGGCTTCAGGGGAGAATGAAGGAATGCTAATCACAAAGTTTACTGCCTTCCTACTTCTGCCCCGAGGGAGCAAGAGCCTCATCTCACAGGTGTGTGTCTGATACCTTTACCTTTTCACCTGGGTGGGGCGAATGTTACTGGGGAATGTGAAATGTTCTTCCTCCAGGCCTTCTGCAAAGTCTGAAGGGGGAGGTAGGGCCCAGAAATGTGGGGGAATGCCCAGGTCTAAGAAAACTTACTGATCAACTTGGAACCCTGGTGTCTTCAACTGAAAGGACCTCAAAGGCCCTTAGGTTCAGCCCTTAAACCAAGCAAATCCCCTCTTGATAAGGGATCAGAACATCTCAGTTGGCATACCTTCAGTGCTGGGGAACTCTCTCCCTCACGAGACAGCCCATTCCAGTTCTGAAAGTTGTTCCTCACCATACTGAGCTGAAATCTGCTTCCACATGACTCCGCCCAGTGGTCCCAGCTCTGCTCTCTGATGTCATGCCAAATACATCTAATTCCTTTCCCAGAGGAATTCAGTGCCCTTAAGTGTCTAAACTCAGAGATCTCATCCCCTCCAAGACTTTCTTTTCTCACTTCTGCAGACTCCTCTGGTGTTGTTGCTGAGTTGTGTCCGACTCTTTGTGATCCTCTTAAGTGTTTTGATTCTTAAACCCTCCCCTCTTAGCTGGAACAAGAGAAATTGGAAATGAATGAGCTGAACGGATTCAAGGCTCCCTGGGAAGAACTTTTAAAAATGTACACTTGAAGAAAATAAAATAAAAAATAAAAATGCACACTTGAGTGACAAGAGGCAGTGAAGAAAAGGCTGAAGGCTGCCACTCCAGCCGTGAAAACGAGGACAGAGGTCAGGGCGCATCTGGCTGGCATCTGAGCCTCTAAATAATGCTTAGGACACTCAGAATACTTTTTAAAAGGCCAGGCTGCAGAATCTGATATACTAGAACCAGGGAAGTGAATCTAACGATTCTCAGAGCATCCTTGCTCCCGGCAGTTTACACAGCCATCTCTGGGCAGAATTATATTTACAGGAGGAAGAGGATGGATGGAGTTAAAGCTTAAAGAGTCTTGGAAATGAGGACTACCATAAACCCCAGTCCCTCCACCCTCATAAATGCTTTCCCTGTGTTCTGTAAAGAACTGAAATTGAGAAAAGGGGACACCTTAATAATGCCCCCTCTACACAGTGACACTGTGATGCCAGCCTATTTCTTCTACAGACTCTATGAGTGAGTAAGGGCTTCATTTTTAAAAGCTTTTTAATGTATTTGTATTTTTACTTATTTTTGGCTGTGCTGGGTATTTATTGCTATGAGAGGGCTTTCTCTACTTGTGGCGAATGGAGGCTACTCTCCAGTTGCATTGCTTGGGCTTCTCATTGCAGTGGCTTCCCTTGTTGCTCTGGGGTGCACAGGCTTTAGCAGTTGCAGTACACAGGCTTTGTTGGTCCAAGGCATGTGGACTCTTCCTGGACCAGGGATTGAACTTGCGTCCCCTGCATTGGCAGACAGATTCTTAACCACTGGGCCACCAGGGAAATCCATTCATTGTTTTAAAATATATTTATTTATTTGGCTGCACCAGGTTTTAGCTGCGACATGTAGGGTTTTCAGTCTTTGTTATGGCATGAGGGATCTTTAGTTGCAGCATGTAAATTCTTAGTTGCGGCTTATGGGATCTAGTTCCCTGACCAGGAATCGAGCCCAGGCCTACTGCACTGAGAGCTCAGAGTCCTAACCCCTGGAATACCAGGAAAGTCCCCAACGCTTAATTTTTTGAGGTAGCTTTTTAGTGATAAAACCCAAAGACCTAAGTATAGGGCATGTAAGCTACTCCAGTCCCAGTAAGAGAAACTCATTTTTTTATATTTACATAATGGCAAATTATTTTGTTGTTTGTCTCACTGATATTATCAGATGATTATATCTTGGGTAGGTATGTGAAGCTAGGTTACAATCTAATATGTAGGTTCAAAGCCACGTTGAAATAATGCAAGTTTGCTTTTGTCCTGATTTCTTCCACTTAAAAGGATGACGCTTCCTGTTTGTTATTTAACTATGCTAATTGTGGCTATAGCTTGCTACTAGTTCTGGTGATGATGACAAGGTCTGTGATAGGAGGGTGATAGCACTAGCTCTATTTTGCAGGTCAGGCAGGCTGAGGCTGAGAAACATTTAGTGATGGGCACAGGGCTTTGTGACTCTAAATAATAGACCTCAAGTAATAACCCAGTCTTTTCCCCAGTGCTATTCCCCTTGCAGAATTCCCCAGAACATGAGCTAACTAAAACAGAGGTGAAAGAATTAAACACACAGAGGCACATTTCTATTCCAGACCAGTGGAAAATACTAGCAACATCCATGAACCCATACTTTGCACAAGTATTAAAAAGAAAATAAAACTTGATCATTATCTCTGAAACAAAATCAGTAAAAAGTAAGTTCTCTAAATCTTTGAAAATCTCACCAAGGGTAAGTTTTTAAAGAGAATGGTCTTCTGGGGCATGTGAGCTAGTCTGGGACAGAGTAAATACTTGGTCACCCTTGATTCTTTCTCTCTTTTTTTAAAGTCACTCAGTTGTGTCCAACTCCTTGTGACCCCATGGACTATATTGTCCATGGAATTCTCCAGGCCAGAATACTGGAGTGGGTAGCCATTCCCTTCTCCAGGGGATCTTCCCAACCCAGGGATTGAACCCAGGTCTCCTGTGTTGCAGGTAGATTCTTTATCAGCTGAGCCACAAGGGAAGCCCAAGAATACTGGAGTGGGTAGCCTATCCTTTCTCCAGCAGATCTTTCCAACCCAGGAATTGAACTGGGGTCTCCTGCATTGCAGGCAGATTCTTTACCAACTGAGCTATGAGGGACCTAGACACATCGAATTTTCCTTCTTTGTGTCTAGGCAGTCTTTATTGGAGTCTGCTAAGAGTAAGGCGGGCTTCCCAGGTGGTGCTAGTGGTAAAAAAACTGGCATGTCAATGCAGGATATGCAAGAGATGTGGGTTCAGTCCCTGGGTTGGGAAGATCCCCTGGAGAAGGAAATGGCAACCCACTCCAGTATTCTTGCCTGGAGAATCCCATGGACAGAGGGGCCTGGTGGGCTGTGGTCCGTAGGGTCACAAAGAGTTGGAAACGCCTGAAGAGACTTAGCACACATGCAAGGAAGAATAAGGCACACAGACTGCTTTAATTAAAGAAAATGTTTGGTGGTCAAAAGAGGGATATCCCAGAGATAGAAAACAGGGCTGTCACTGAGGTTTGGTGATTGCTCCACCAAAGCCACAGATCTGGCTACCCTCAAAGAAAGTGTTCGGCGCTCAGTCATGTCCAACTCTTTGCTATCCCACGGACTGTAGCCCACCAGGCTCCCCATCCATGGGATTTTGCAAGCAAGAATACTGGAGTGGGTTGCCATTCCCTTCTCCAGGGCATCTTCCTGACCCAGGGATCAAACCCAGGTCTCCTGCATTGCAAGCAGATTCTTTACCATCTGAGCCACCAGGGAAGCCCTCAAACTGGTCTTTCAAATAAAGAGTAAAACTTAAGGAGAACTCCTCTAATTCTTTGGAGGTTTTAGGATAACTGCTTGTTGACTCAATATAGTAATCTGTTTCTTCAGGAGTAACTGGAAATATTCTTTTCACTTTTCTGTAAGATATGTGTTAATCTTGGCTCTGAAGGAGCAATTTGCATCCAAGATTCTCAAGGAACTCCTCTGAGATGAATTCATTTTGGAGACACATAACTTATTTACTTCCATTCCACAGAGATTTAAATGAGTTTTGATGGGGGATGTTCCTTTTCCAAGCAAAGTGTAATACACTAGAGGATGAGTTCTTACTCAACTCAGAGTCTGTTATCCTCCTAATGGATCCTCCTCCACTTCATTTTGAAACAGAAGAATGTTAAGACCCACAACTCATGTTAAGAATGTAAATTTTGAATATTGATGCCATATTTACTTAAAAGAGGTGTCTGATCAGTTACTAGGCCTAATGACTTCATTTGACCATCCACCACCCACTCATTCATCCATCTACCATCCAGCATCCATCCCTCCACCATCCATCATCCATTCATCTATTCATCCATCCGTCTGTCTATCCATGCATCCATCCTTCTACCCATGCATCCATTCATTCATCCATCCACCATCCATTATCCAACCATCAGTCCCTTGGGAGAGGTCTGGCCACTCTCTACTTCCTGCTGGTTCCTTAGGTTTCCTCAGAAGGTGTCAGCCCCACCTATGATCGTCAACTTTTAAAAGTTTGCACTTAACCAGCAAGGCAAGATGGCTATAGTTAAAGCACCAGGCAGGAAGGGTTCTTCTGGACCAGAATGGCCAACTGTCCCAGTCATCCCTGACTGTATCGGTTTTCACACTGAAAGCCCTCAGACCCAGGAAATGGAGTGGTGGGTCGCCCTAACCTGAACTTCCTGGTAATCAGTAAAACAATGCGGTAAGGACAGTCCAAGTGATATACAGTGTGTTCACCTTTCTTAAACCTACTAAACTTTAATTAGGTTTATTTATCCTGTTCATTGTTTATTTAAACAGCAGAGGTGCATATGTATACTGCATAGTCCTGGCCCCTATGGAATTATTAATATTTTCATGGAGATTTCCTTTGTCAAGGTGTTCTGGGTCCACAGCCAGGAGGTATGAGGAGCCCTGGGAAACTTATGTATGATTTCCTGTACAGGTATTATTGAGGTCTTCCCAGGTAGCACGAAGGTAAGGAACCGTCCTGCCAATGCAGGAGCTGCAGGAGATGTAGGTCCGATCGCTGGATGGGAAAGGTCCCCTGGAGGGGGAAATGGCCACCCACTCCAGTATTCTTGCTGGGATAATCCCGAGGACAGAGGAGACCGGCGGGCTCTGGTCCATGGGGTTGCAAAGAGACATGACTGAGCACACATGCACGCACGCACGGGTATCACCGAGGCCTAATTCTCCACGTTATGCTGTGTTTTCCTCCTGAGGACCCTGGGGGAGCTTCAGGACTGGGGAGACCCTGGGATCCTGGTTGCTGGCAGGGCAGGTCCTCTCCAGTGGCTGTGCTACAGCCAGTCGGGGTGAGTTCTTTCTCATCCGTCTTATTTTCTTTTTGCAACAATTCTACCCTTTATTTTTATCTTTCACTGCATGTATTTTCTACATTCAGATCT